GTTTCAACAAAAAAACACTATTTCAAAGAAGATATATCTTTCCAGTAAAATCCTTGAATTAAAATAAAATGGTAACTGTGAATATTGTATAATAATTAGATATAACAAAGCTATGTATAATTATTATATCTTCTAATCCAAAATTTATAACAACATGTTTATAATTAAACACTTTGGATACCTTAATGATGACAACAAATTTGTATATTTATACCAATTATATTTATTAGCATTTTAACTTAACAATAACTACAGTGAATTTCGCACAAACAAAGAATATAAGTAAATATTTTTACTCCATAATCTTCCCCCCACCCCCATTTTATCTAACTTGAGACTGTATTTATACCCATTTGACCTTTCAGTAAGAAGAAGAAAGGAAAAAGGGAAGAAATACAGTTACATTTGACCATGATTATAATGAATACAATCTTAAAGTCATGTATGGAAATTTATAAACATTGAACAAACACACCCACGCTCCACACAAATACAATTGGACACAAGTATGAAAAAAAGTAAACACCCAAGCCCCCAAAAAACAAAATAAACATAAACGCAGCCATTGAACTAAAAATTAACACAAACACTCTCATACTCTTACATTTATACAGACCGACATTGTAACTATGTATGTATGTTTAGTATATAACGACAAGTCCTTTAATAAATGAGTAAAAAAGGAATAAAAAGTAATTATAACAACATTGTACGAAAAAGGACACATTTACACACATATGTATGTACAAAAAACTACAATTGTGGGGTAAAGAGAGAGTCGAGGAAGTAAGTTGGAACAGACGGTTGGGTAGTAAAGACAATGGTAACAAGGTGCTGCTGTAAATGAAAATAATGATTATAATTGTCATGCTAATGTTGCTATTCCGAAGAAACAACAAAAAGATAACTGACTAAGTTTTATGTTGGGTTGTCTGGAATTTTATTTAGCTTACAGTTGTATCATTAGTTTAGATTGTTTAGATGCTAAGTCCACTTTTTATGCAAATTTAGTATTTAATACAAAACTTTATGAGTTTGTTAGTTTAGGTTGTATTGTTAAATGTATTCCAACTTTTAGGAAACTAGACTATAACTAGACTATAGACTAGACTATAGACTAGACTAAAGACTAGACTATAGACTAGACTATAGACTATACTATAGACTAGACTATAGACTAGACTGTAGACTAGACTATAGACTAGACTATAGACTAGACTATAGACTAGACTATAGACTAGACTATAGACTAGACTATAGACTAGACTATAGACTAGACTATAGACTAGACTATAGACTAGACTATAGACTAGACTATAGACTAGACTATAGACTAGACTATAGACTAGACTATAGACTAGACTATAGACTAGACTATAGACTAGACTATAGACTAGACTATAGACTAGACTATAGACTAGACTATAGACTAGACTATAGACTAGACTATAGACTAGACTATAGACTAGACTATAGACTAGACTATAGACTAGACTATAGACTAGACTATAGACTAGACTATAGACTAGACTATAGACTAGACTATAGACTAGACTATAGACTAGACTATAGACTAGACTATAGACTAGACTATAGACTAGACTATAGACTAGACTATAGACTAGACTATAGACTAGACTATAGACTAGACTATAGACTAGACTATAGACTAGACTATAGACTAGACTATAGACTAGACTATAGACTAGACTATAGACTAGACTATAGACTAGACTATAGACTAGACTATAGACTAGACTATAGACTAGACTATAGACTAGACTATAGACTAGACTATAGACTAGACTATAGACTAGACTATAGACTAGACTATAGACTAGACTATAGACTAGACTATAGACTAGACTATAGACTAGACTATAGACTAGACTATAGACTAGACTATAGACTAGACTATAGACTATAGACTAGACTATAGACTATAGACTAGACTATAGACTAGACTATAGACTAGACTATAGACTAGACTATAGACTAGACTATAGACTAGACTATAGACTAGACTATAGACTAGACTATAGACTAGACTATAGACTAGACTATAGACTAGACTATAGACTAGACTATAGACTAGACTATAGACTAGACTATAGACTAGACTATAGACTAGACTATAGACTAGACTAGAATATAGACTGTAGACTAGACTATAGGCTAGACTATAGATTAGACTATAGACTACACTATAGACTAGTATAAATTAATTCGACTTAAATAGTATTAACTCAAATAGAAGAATTAAACTCAATTAACATAAAAATTCAGTCATAAAGGTCCTTAAAAGACTTAAAAGTTGAAAACTATACTATATTAAAGCATTGAGAAAGAACTTCAGAAACAATAATTTTAAGAAAATATTTTTTTCATGCTTATTCACTGTTTCAAAAATTAAATAAAATAATTTTTCAATAATTCTTTCACTTCAACCATTAAGTTGGTTATAATTGAAGCCAGTTAAGAAAACCAAAATTAAGAAAGAAACATTAAAAATAGAATCCCACACAGCCACCTTCAATTACATTAATTATAATTATAAAACAACTAGTAAAACCAACAAAAACAAAATACTTACATACATATATGGCTAGAAAAGAAAATACCAAAATGAAAATATAACTAAGGACAATAACTCATATAACAACATACACATACATTTGTAACTGCATTAAAAGGTGGGTGGAGGTCCTTTGGTTATTATAAAAAAATATGGAGAGATCTACATAGTATTTTCTATTACAAACTTATGCAAAAATTAAAAAGAGACAAAAACTCTGGCCCCACTACTAACTCCCACATTTGTAAATGTATGAGTATATGTCTATGTATGTATATGCATTATGCATGTAATATGCATTTACATTATGTACAACAAAGCAGAGGCGATAGAAATGTTATAGTAAAAATATACATACTACGACGATATGAACATGTTTTTCATGACTTTTTTTATAATTTTTTTTTTTTGTTTCCTGCATAAAATGCTTTTTTATGCATAAAAGCCACACCCATTAAAGCAATAAAAATAAGCGATTTATAAAAAAAGGAATTGCTAGAAAATGCGCATTGCAATTGCGAATATGAAAAAAAAAACTATAGCATACACATGCCACACTAATGCGATATGTATGCTAATAAAAGCACAACGACAAATGCATATTTGTGCTTATGCAGAGATGGAAATTTGTTTATATGAGGCTAGTATTATGGAAATCACTTTTAAAACCCGTTTAAAGATAAAATATCGTTATTGTAAAGTATTTAGAAAACGAAAAACACAAATTTTTCTTTTGCATTATAGGTCATTATTTTAACACTGTTATGTCATTGGAGGCAAGCACTTACTACGCTCGCTTACAAATAGGGAATTAATTAATTACTTAGCAGAATCGCATGCTAATAAGGCTTTAATTATGAAGTTTCCGTTTGTGTAAGAAATATATTTTTAAGAAGTAAGCCCAAATATAAAGACACCTTCTATTTAATACAGAGAGTTTTAATAGTCATTGAAAAATAAGTTTTTTGGTTAAGTACAAGTAAGTAATGAACTAACTAGCTAATGATCTAGATTTGTTCCTGTTTAACATTCCTACGACTGCACCTAAAGCCTTCCTGTACGAAGTTGACCAAGAATCATTGTCGGAATTGCATTTCAAAACGACAAAAAACATGCTCCAGAATACTAAGCTTCAGTCCATAATCTCCTGTATATGTCTAAATACCAAAAAAAATCTAAATTTTATTGAAATTATTCATATATCCAACACGATTAAGCATGTCCAAATTGCTAAACAAAAGAGGCTGCTATCAGGCATATTTTGCGTCTCTTTACAACAGCTTTAAAATTTATTATTTTTTTTTTTTTTTTGTAAAATTTGTATCATTGTTTAACAAATGTTTTGCCAACAAAACCTAATTTTTATCTAATTCTAAAATATATTGGAATGAATATTACTCGATATATACACTTTACAAAACTAGAACAAGTTTGAGAAGTAATGGCTGCTTTATATGAATTTGAAATTTTCATAATTTGAAAATACATAAATTTTGCATATCACTTTCTAATTTTAAAATTCAAATATTCCAATCCTGATTCCTACACTAGTCCAACATACACATGCACAATTGGAAATATGGTAATTTTATACAATAACAAAATAAACAACATCAACAAGGATATAAACTCAAACAAATTCAAGTCCCTTTTGCAGACTGGAGAGCACACACAAAAAGCAAAAGATTGAAAACTCTAAGAAAGTAAAAGCAAACAAAAGAAAATGGATTCTGTTTAAGGGCAAAGAGGGGTAAAGGGAAGTGAAAATCTAATAAGAATTCATTTATTACAATTTGAAATGTGGAAGATATTCATACAACTTTACAACAGAAACAAGGAAATTAGGGGTAAAATTTGCAAATTGTCTGCAGAGTAAACTAGGCGCATGTATAAATGAGAGTAATTGTGTGGAATAGTAAGTGAAAGGGGAAGGGAGAGTAAGAGGAAACAGTATGCATGTTTCTATCATAACAGGGTAGGTTTTGTTGTTGTTGCTTTACATTATGGTCACACTCATAACAACAATGTCATTCTTTATCAATAGCATTTGCAGACACACACACTCGTACACTCGTAATACGAAATGCAAAAGAATTCAAAACGGAAATGTTATATGATTATGCAGATCTGCTGAGACACATAAACACACACATTTATGATTTTTTATACAGGGGAGAATGTTAAAGAGAGAGGGGAATGCATATGCACTAAAGTGTTGTAGTTTTTGGGTATTTTCTTAACAAAAAATACAACATAAAAACAGAAATGGTAAAAGAAAATTGTAGTTGTTTGTGTAAAAGAGAATACGTGTGTGTGTCTGTAGTCTGTTTTCTATTGATAGTAAAACGAAAAAGTATTAGAAACTAGCAGAAATTTCAAATTGTGGTTCGAGTAAGATAGTTAAGTTCAAAAGCAAGTGTGATTCAGTTGCATTTTAACTGTGCACACAGCAAGACATACTTACAAACAAACTACAAATTACATATTTTTTAATAAATTATTAAAAATTTAACAAAAAAATACAAAACTAAAGGAATATTTTAATAAGTTTTTTTTTGTTAATAAATAACAAACAAATTTTAATTATTAAAAAAATAATAAATATTTAAAAGTGTTAAGAAAATTATATATAAATATTAAACCAAAAGCGGATATTTAAAAAAAGTGTTAAATTTTATTTATAAATACTATAAAACTTTTTTAAAAACACAATGATGGTTGTACAACAACAAATGCTTTGGAATACTCAACAATCGTCTGCTTCAGCAGCACAAAATTCATCAAAAGATGATTCAAGATTATTGGATAACTCATCGCCTCCTTATTTAAAAACGGAAATATTAGATGATAATGAGGTAGAAGAGCTTCATCATCAACAACTTTCAAATAATCACCATCACTATAATCATCATCATGTTAAACATGATGACGATGAGGAAGAAGAAGTGGTCGATGGCGAACATGATGAACATCATGAACATCATGTACCTGTGGAACAACCAAAATTTACATGTAGGTGTTTTTTATTTAATTTTTTATAATACTTTAACATTTTTTTCGAGGGGGGAAAATTATAAAAAACTTAATATATAAAATTTATAAAAATTTTATCTAAATTAAAATTTTTGTAAAAATTTTAGTAATCCATAAATTTAGTAAAGTTATTAATTTGGAATTTATAAAGTTTAAAATAGTACAACAATTTTAGTTTAAATAAATATTAAACAATTTTAAATATTTGCCGACGGTAGTTTTTTAAATCAAACATTTTCAAAACACTTCACATTCTTGAAAAATATATAATTAACAAAATCAAAGTTCGTAATAAAAAATCCAAAATTTTCTAATTAAAAAACTTTACCTTGAAATTAAAAAAACAAATAGTTTTTGCAATATCCCACCGCTTTTAAAATAATATTCGAAATCACCTGCATTTCTTTACGACAAATTTTCACAATTGAACCTATTATTTCGTCTACACCCTCACATTCATTGTATTTCTCGGTTGTAACTTAAAAATTAAAACATACATCCTGCTGCTGCTGCTCCTTGCTAATCTAAACCTTATCGGGTTTCAACCAACAATAGCATTTGCATGATAACCATGCAAATTTGTATATTCTTTAAATATAAATAGAAATCTACAATAAGAACTAGATCACAGGCGTCTAAAAGTATAAAAAATGCCCTCCTGCCGTTTCTCATGATCATTTATTTGGATTTTGTAAAACAAACAACACGATGAATATTCAAATTTCAAATTAAAATCAAAAACTGATAAACATTTGCTGCTTACTTTGCACATTTTGTATATTTTCTTACTTTTTTTCTGATAATTTTTTTATTTCAAATATTATATGGAAATTTTTGTTACCTGTTTATAAAGAAAAGGTGTTTCTGATGTCCTTTTTTCAGTGTGTGTGCATGAGTGTGTGTTTTAAAAAAAAAGACAAGCATGAAATTTTTCTCACAAAAAAATCTTTAAATTTTCTTTTTTTATATTTTTACCATAAAGGACATATGTCCTGTTTATGTGGGTCTTAAAAAATGCTTTGAATTTTTAGGTAAATTTTGTGAAATTTTTAAGATTCTTTTCTCAAGGCTAAAAGTAATGGATTTAAAAGACCACAAAAACCTTAGTTTTAGTAATTGCATTTAAATAGTAGGTGTGCATAAGAAATATTTTGCTAGTTAATTACTGGGATTAACTTTTTAAAAAACTAAGGAAGTTATAAAACCATATAATTTTCTAAGATTTTTCAAAAAAGGCAGGTATGATTTTTTTTGCCAGCAAAAGTTATAAATTGACTTTTTAACAGCTGCATATAGCTAAAAACCTAGAAAAGGTCATTTATTTCTAATATCCGGCCAAAGTCTTTGCAAAAAAAACCAACAAGCTTTTCCCCAGATAATTGAAGTCTGTGCTAGTACTTGCATATTTGTATATAAAGATTAAGGATAATCTAAATATTTATGTTTATTGTATAGTTAGTACTTTAGCATATTTTGTTGCAAAAATATGTGTCTTTTTTTACACATTTCCATTGGTAGAGGGGAAGAGCAAGTGTTAAGATATGAAAATATAATGTTGTGTTTATGGTTTTGTCTTTTGTCCAAGCTGATACTCTCTCAGGGGAGCTATAAATTTAATAATGGTCCTTCTGGCTAAGTAAGCAGCAAACACAACAAACCTAAAAACATAAAAAGTATGTAGTCCTGTGTATGTGTCCTTAAAAAACCATTTTGGTTGGCAATGTATTATAATCTTTATAAAACAATTTACATATGTAAAAAAAACTACGTGATTTTTTGTTAATTTTAATAATATTTTTTTGTTATTTTCTTCTCCTTTTAGATCTGAGACACATGTCAAAATCACCTTCACCCATACGCTCATTATCAGGTGTGTATTATTTTCATTTCTTTTTAAATTTATCTTTCTTTGAACATCTAACTCCTCTACTATCCTGACAATTAGTTAATTTTACAAAAATACCGTTTTGTGTGTTAGATAATCCTTAAATTTAACTATTTTCAACGGTACTTTTTTCCAAATCCTAGGAAATCAGTAGACAATTAAAAAATCGTGTAACAAATGTCTAATTTCTTTTATTTTGAAAAGACACGTGACTAAAATTTTGTAATATGTAACTACCCCTTTTTGTCTAGAGCCTTAAAGAGGTTCAGCTCCTATAAAAAAGGGTGTCTTGTCTTATTAATCAAATTTACACAATTTGAGGTTTCTTTGTTTTTGCTTAAAATTGATCAAAAATCTTTACGCGTGCCTTAAGTGGGATCGCCTTTAGTATTTGCTTACAAAGATTTCTTCCAATCTTTTTTACAACCCCATTTTGTTAAAGATTTCAAAACACATTTGTGTGAAAACTATTAATATTTAGAATTTTTGCTAAATTTTTATATATTAATTTCCAAGCAATTAATTTTATGTATAAATACCAACATTTAAACATAAAATAAAATATATAATAAATTAAAAGTTTTTACATTTGAAGCAGATGACTAAATACAATAGAGAGTCCGAGTCAAAGAAAAACTAAAAACAATTGACCTTTTTGTATGGGACAAGTAACACATGACCCTAAAAACTGACCCACACATAAACTATACAATAAGCAAAATTCTTTACAACAATTTGTCACATTCTAAACAATAAATTTTGCACAGATTCAGTTATATTGAGAAAAATTCATTGAAAAATCTTTTTAAACACCCCCCAAAAATGCAAAACAGTGTAACAAAACCACCCTAATTTTATAGGGAAATGCATAAATTCTAACATTTCAAACAATTTAAATAAAACACCTTGTTGAGGGTTTCAAATAAAATTTAAATACTTGTGTCTCTCACACACAAAAAACAACATGCTTAAGTGTCATAACAAGGTTACAACCCCTAAAAACTAGCAATACTTTTGTTTAGAAATATTCAAAATTTTTACAAAACTGTTGGGGTATATTAATAAAATTAAAAGGTTATGTAAATTATACGCCATTTAAATGATAATGACACTTACCTTTATACACAACGTGTTAAATATTATGACAACAATTAATTTTATTTAAATTTGTGAGGTTATGTTTGAACAATTAAAATCCTTTTAATAAAGCGATAAAAAACACTTTAGAAGGGAAAATAGAAAACCACCATATTTGTTAGCACCCTTTTTTTATTATTATATGCAAAATTATTTAAATAAAGGGTTATATTACACACACACACACACTTTTTCAACTAATCCTGCCTAATTTAAATGTTAAACCACCCTGTTGAAAGTTGTTAAAAAAACGCAACAATTGGTTTGACTTTTGTTGGTTAAAGGGGAAAACGAAAAAAAAGGTGCTGCTGTATTTAAATTATATGCTAAATCATATACACTTATCAGTACAAATTATAGGCCTCTTTATAAAAAAGTGTAAAGGGTTTTTTATTGAGTACCTTTTTTTTTGTTGAAGGGATTTACCTTTCTTTTGTATGGTAATTGATTGAGATTGCATGTTTTTAAAGAGTGTGTTTTGTTTGTTTATTTAAATAAAAAAACAGCAATTTGATTGATTTAGAAATAAAAGGGGCTTTAATGATCATAACATAATCATTATGTAAATAAAAAAGGATCATAAAAAAGGAGGTGTGTTTAAGAGGAAGAGTTAAATAGCAATAAAAAGAGCAATAGTTTAGAAGTTTAAATTTAAATATCGTTGAGAGATAAACAATTTCATGGGCTTGAAATATTTAAAAAAACTAGTTATTACCAAATCCTGTTGTAGTTGTAGTTCTTTTCATCAAAAATGTCATCATCCCGTTTCAAATTTTATTCTCTCAAATTTCCCTGAAATCTTTTCAGTTTTTTTTATTAAAAAAAACTAATTTTTATGCACATTTCATCTTTATGTAAAAAGAACAGCTGTCTTAATTTATTATAAAAAAAATCGCTAAAAAAATTCTACAGGCCAGCTAAAATAATAAAAAAACAAACTACTACTCACACATTCCCTCCCTCAATTACACAATAAGCCAACCAAAAATCTGACTCCGATTACAAGATATAAAAAACTGTCTATAAAAAAAAACAATAGAAAATTTGTGTAAAAAATTACCAAACAATAGTTTACAAAATATTAAACAAAACCTTCAAAAAATTAAATAAAAAACGGAAATGTCATAAATTATGAAAAAAATAACCAGAATAACATGACAGTTACATGGAAATATAAAGGACTAATACAATCCTATCTATGAAAAACTAGTTTTAATATAATTAAACTTTTATAATTAACAAAAGTTTTAGTACTCTATTCAATATATTCAAGTGTTTTAAAAATATTAAAATATGTATTTTAAATCCTTTCATTCATCATCATTCAATAACAAACACAGATTTCGAAAACTGTATTTTAAAAATAAATAAACTCTGACATATTTTACAATTAGACACATGAAATTGTCAATAAATATTGAAAATCAAAAATTGGAAATACAGCTGCTCTTTGCACAATGTACATATACACATACATACAAAAACACAACAATATCACCTGGACATCACTAAAACAGTGTTTCGCTCTGTATAATTGTCTGTCCCTCTTTCTCTTACAAATTCATAAAGTAAACATAAAACATGTGGCTTATAGCATGTAGCACATTAGTGGTGCATCCCATAGACAATAAACCTTAGGAGGTGTAAAATAAAACTTAAACAAATGCACTATTACTCTCTCTCTTCTAGAAAATTTAATGATTTATTTCTTTTGATTAAGATTTTTTTTTCCAAAAATTTTGTAATACGAGCTCTCAAATGTAACATAAAAGGATTTTTAAGATCCTTTTTTTAACACTTCTTCTTAAGAAATCAAAATTGTAAACAACAATAATAACAAAACAAAAATAATAATAATGTTACTCCTGGTTTGACTTCTTGTTAAAATTAAAAATTGCAACTTATATTGTTCGTTTTGATTTCATTGTCCTGAAACCTGCCCCTTGCAATATTACAAGGAATATTTTTTTTAAATCACAAAAATATAAAATTATACATTCGTCTAGCTTTATTATAAATATTGTAGAAACTGCATGATATGCTTTGATATATCTTTTTAAATATGGTGGCAAATTAAACATTTGTTATTGTATCGCTCTACTCCCCTTTTAGTAACTTTTATGGCTTTAGGGTGTTTTTTCCATTCTTCATTTACTCGTTCTATGGCCAATTTATATATGAGAAGAATCACCCTTTTAATCAAAACACCAAAATTTTGAATTTTAGAAACCATGTTTAAATTGTAAAGTATTGTCGTTTTAACAAATGTTTTGCATTGTTTTTAATCCTTCAAAATACAAGGGTTGCATTTCAATCATTTTCATTTCAACGAAAAACGTAAAGGGTGAGATTTGAAATTTGTCTAGGTTTTTCATGATTTTTATCTAATGTAACGAATTTTACTAATTTTACATGTGGAATACAACATGACAACCTCTAATTTATGACATTATTTACAATGAAATCTTTTAATACGATTAATTTTTTAGAGAACTGTACTTTTGAACACTTGATAACTTTATATTTCCTCTCTTCCTACTTTTTTATACTCCTTAATTTTTCCTATCATTCAATTAACTAATAAATTTTCTTCTTTTTTATTTAATTCCAGGTTTCTCTTCTTACCACGAGCCCCAAGATGATCTAGAGAAATATCGCACTCCCTCACCCACCAATGTGAGCAATAAACGCTCTCGTGAATTGGATTCTGAAATGGAAAATGAAGTTTTGAATTTAGCCCGTCATACACCCAAACGTGTAGCTAGATCGCCTTCACCCATTACTGAAAAATCGGCCAACTATGAAACTGAAAATCCCTTAAACCCAAATTCTCCTAATCTATTGTCAGCTTTGCAAAATCCTTTGGCACCTTTGTTGCTACAAAATCAATTGGGTTTGGCTGCAGCGGCTACATCGTTGAAACCCGAAGAAATGCAACAAGCCTTCCAGTTGCAATTACAAGGTTATATGGAAATGATGCGCCAAATGTCTCCAGAAAATCCTGCAGCTGCTCAATTTTTGCTGCAGAATTCTCTACAAGCCATGTTGCAATTGCAAGCTTTACAACAAATGAAACAACAACAGCAGCAGCAACAACAAGTTCAAGAGGAAATTTTGCGCAAGAGTCCCATAAATGAATTGAAAAACTATTCTACTCCTCAAACTAAATCACCTCTGAGAAGTCCTTCCTTGAGTCCAGTCTCCAGACATGGCAGTGCTCGTTTACAGACACCTAATGGTACATCAGCCTCTACCAACCAACAATCCACACCACCAAATTCAGCCAATTTGCCCATGAGCCTAAGCAGTGCTGCCATGACTCCTAATACTCCTGGTATGCCACCAGCTTTTCCTTCCAACTCTCTATCACAGGCAGCAATGACATATTCCAGTACTCCACAAAACTCTAAAGGCTCGGGTGCTAACACTCTCTCAATGACAGCACGCACTCTGGATCAATCTCCCGAAGAAACCACTGATTTAGAAGAACTCGAACAATTTGCCAAGACTTTCAAACAAAGACGTATTAAATTGGGTTTCACTCAAGGAGATGTAGGTCTAGCTATGGGCAAATTATATGGCAATGACTTTTCACAGACCACCATTTCCCGTTTTGAAGCCTTGAACTTGAGTTTCAAAAATATGTGTAAATTGAAGCCTTTGCTACAAAAATGGTTGGAAGATGCTGACAATACCGTATCAAAACCAGGTGGTATTTTTAATCTTACTGCCATGACTTCTTCCGCCCTAACTACCCCCGAAAATATTATGGGTAGACGCCGTAAGAAGCGCACTTCGATTGAAACCAATGTTAGAACTACTTTGGAAAGAGCTTTCAATATTAACTGCAAGCCCACCTCAGAAGAAATTAATCAACTGTCTGAACAGTTAAACATGGATAAGGAAGTAGTGAGAGTATGGTTCTGCAACAGAAGACAAAAGGAGAAGAGAACTAATCCTTCCCTAGATCTTGACAGTCCTACTGGCACGCCTCTCAGCAGTCATGCATTTGGTTATCCTCCTCAATCACTAAATCTTACCTCAGGACTTGAAGGCTCCTCTTTGTGTGGCAGTTCTATTAGTTCTCTCTCCCCTCACTACAATGCCAAACAAGAATGATGCTGGTACACCCACGAAGATTATCACAACGGTTATATAGATAACATGGACTTAACATATCGTTCAGGGACACATCTGACAGCCGCTAAGCTGGATGCCTTAACGTCTGTTCCCGCAGGCGACTTTCAGAGTCCCTTTACCAGTTCCTATTCACAGGAACCCAACTCAGTTACATCCTCATGGCACACTCAAGCTCAGGATCATGATCTTCAGTATCTGCATCAATCGCCTCAAATGATGAGTTTTAATTCGTCTTGGTCTTCGTAGACTTATTAACCAACCACTGCAGTCGAAGGCAAGGCCAAATTGTATATAGTTATGAACAAATCCCCAACTCTGACATTACAATGACAACATTCCATTTCAGTATTCATATCATGTATTGTGTATCAGATATTTTAATACATACTTAGGAAAACATTTACTTTGTTTAATATTACTTAAACAAGAAAAGCAAACTTCCATTATAAATCTTTAATATAAATAAGTATTAACGAATTTATTTAAGAAATACAAAAAAAAAACAATTGAAATTTTGTAAATATCATTAGATTTTAAGTAAAAACTAAAAAAGAGCATTTACCTATAGTTCCTAAAATCAACCACCCACTCACTCTCTTTATCTCTTATATTCATCAACCATTAGCAAAAAGAGACATGTATACTAAACAAATATTTATTAAAATCTATGAAAATAATTCATAAATAATAATGAATTTATTAAAAAATCAAACAAAATATACGAAAACCTAAATGTACATTTTATGTTACGATGTGTATAATAGAAAATTTTAGTATTTAAGTCCATATATTAATAAATAAAACAAATTATAAAAAAATTAAATTTACTCCTTCTTTTTCTTTTTTGTAACGCTTGTCTAAAATTGTCAGAAATTTTTTTCTGAAAAAGGGCAGCATAGTCAATTGTGAACCGGTTCTCCTAAATGTGTTCATTTAATCCTTTAAGTTCAAAGCAAAGTGTTTATGGAAATGGGACCTATTATGGAGAATAGTATCAATTAAGTCACAATTTTCGTAATACATAATTTACAGTATAACTTCTGTGTTCCTGTACAAAAATATATCACGATTTCTGCATAATATGTTAGTTATGAGAGTTTAAACAATATTCTAAGAGGACGTTTAAATGGGGTTTTTAAATCGTCCATTTTCATTTAAACTTTTCGACAGATTGTCTCTAAATAATTCCATCAGAAATTTAAATTATTGGTTATATGAACACATCAATACGACCAAATCTTTATAAAATGGATTATTTTTTTAATTTTGTGAATTTAATTTTTTTTAAGTTTTTTTCTTTTCGTAAAACTATGATCCAGATTCCAATTAGTAGTGTTTTTTTAAATATTTTTCTTTGAAATACAAATATTATATAAATATTTCCTAAATAAATATTAAACTAATTTTGAAAATCTTAATAAATATTTCCGTTCATTGTTATAATATGACAAGAAAAAAATACACAAAATAAAATGGCACGCGCCAAAAAGTAAACAGGAAACTAAATTTTTCTTAAAATCAACTTCCTCTTCTGGTGCAAAACATTAAAATTGTAATAAATGCGAAATAAAACTCTTTGACATTTGTAAGGGAATACGAATTGATACTAAAAGTAGTTAAATAATGGTACTAGAAAGTAGATTTAAAGGATAAACTGAAATAGAAAAGAAATCACTTCAAAATATTCTGTGACAATACTATTGCATGCAACGTTTGGTCCGGTACTTAAGGCAGTCACTTTATGTAGCCCTTATTTGTATATTAGTAAAATGAAAACATAATAAAAAAAAACTTCATATGAACATAAATCCTTTTACATTTGTAGGAACAAAAGGACTCTTATTCCACCTCCCCTAAAGTTAAACATATGAGAAAAAGAAAAGGGTTATTTAACATGAAGAAACTACACTCCATTCACACATCGTTATGTTGTTGCTGCTACAACTTGTTGTGGTTCTTAAAAAATGGTTTTTTCAAATCCTTTTTTTCAGTTGGTGTAAGATAAATAAATAAATGTATGTATGGTTCGTATATCCCTTTCCCCACTTTGAGTTTTATTTGGTAAATTCACATGTTTGTTGGTCGTTTAGATATTTTTTTCCTTCATTTTTTATTATTTTGATTTGACATAATGTTTTAAATGTTTTTTCCTACGCTGTTGTTGTTGTACGTTTTAAACGTTTGAAACATATTTTTTTAATAAAAAAATTGAAACCTTTATCAAAAGTTTGCGTACTTTAAGAGTAGGAGTAGACTCTTCTGTAAAAAGGTCAATAACAATAATTTGGTGTTTCGATTTAAAATGGTTTGTTTGTCAATTTATTAAATTGTATGTTGACATAATTTTCTGTTTTCTAGAAATAAGATAGAAGGGGTTAAGTTAGCAAATCGAATACTTTAAAACAAGTAGAATTGGTTTTTAAAGCTTACCAAATAAGAAAAAATCTCATTCTGAAATAAAAAGAAATTAAATAGGCCTTTGGAAAAAAGTTATAACACAAATATAAATGGCTCGATCTTAAAGTTATCAGCTTTATGCTTTTACCTTTAATCGTTTATATATTAAAATTTTGCAAAAACATTTCTTTATTAAACATACATGCAATTCCTACAAACTGCAAATATATTTCTATGTACATACATATATATATTTATACTTTTTAACATGAAGAAAAATAATCTTCTAACATAACATTAGTCAGTTAAATAGCCTACTCTTGATAATATCTTAAAATCACATTAAATTTTCTATTTAATTTCCTAGACAGACGCCTGAAGGACAACAATACCAACAGCAATAACGTCATAAACCAGCAATCAAAAACTAAAACTAGTCAACTGGTCACAAGAAAAAGAAAATACCTTCAAAAAGCAAAAAACCATAGAAGCATAAGAACTGTTTTTTAACAATAAGCTCAAGGCAAAAAAGTTGCCATTAAAATGAAAATTCTATCATCACATGTTAATACAGGCAACAACAAGCTCAGTCACCCTGTGCAAAATACGATAATTGCCTCGGAGAGTTGTAAGAAGAATGAAAATTGTTTTGAATAAATACACACACATGCGTCCATTTAAACATATCGAAGAATGCCCAGTTTAGTCTTATCAACCAGCAAACAGTCACTTTTTTGCCCTCGTCCTGTTTACATAAATGTATATGGAATACAATGCAAAACCACCACAAGTTAAAGATTCCATTATCATATGAGTGCTGCTGTTTGGACAAACAGCAAAAGTCCTGCCGACCAAAGGTCTTTGGTCTTTCAAAAACGTAACAAACTTTGAAATTTGCCCATTTTACAAGTAAAATCAACATCTTTTAAGTTTAATTCAATTGTGGGGCACATGGTTTTATTATTATTTGCTGTTGTATAAACAGACGCATATTGAAGGATTTGAACCCTTTAAATTATGGTGCGCTACAAAAAAAAAGAAGAATATTATGCAGTATAAATTGCCGTCAGCTAACCGGAATAATAAATCGTTACCTTTATTGATGACTAGAATATAGACTAGACTATAGACTAGACTATAGACTAGACTATAGACTAGACTATAGACTATAGACTAGACTAGACTAGACTATAGACTAGACTATAGACTAGACTATAGACTAGACTATAGACTAGACTATAGACTAGACTATAGACTAGACTATAGACTAGACTATAGACTAGACTATAGACTAGACTATAGACTAGACTATAGACTAGACTATAGACTAGACTATAGACTAGACTATAGACTAGACTATAGACTAGACTATAGACTAGACTATAGACTAGACTATAGACTAGACTATAGACTAGACTATAGACTAGACTATAGACTAGACTATAGACTAGACTATAGACTAGACTATAGACTAGACTATAGACTAGACTATAGACTAGACTATAGACTAGACTATAGACTAGACTATAGACTAGACTATAGACTAGACTATAGACTAGACTATAGACTAGACTATAGACTAGACTATAGACTAGACTATAGACTAGACTATAGACTAGACTATAGACTAGACTATAGACTAGATATAGACTAGACTATAGACTAGACTATAGACTAGACTATAGACTAGACTATAGACTAGACTATAGACTAGACTATAGACTAGACTATAGACTATAGACTAGACTATAGACTAGACTATAGACTAGACTATAGACTAGACTATAGACTAGACTATAGACTAGACTATAGACTAGACTATAGACTAGACTATAGACTAGACTATAGACTAGACTATAGACTAGACTATAGACTAGACTATAGACTAGACTATAGACTAGACTATAGACTAGACTATAGACTAGACTATAGACTAGACTATAGACTAGACTATAGACTAGACTATAGACTAGACTATAGACTAGACTATAGACTAGACTATAGACTAGACTATAGACTAGACTATAGACTAGACTATAGACTAGACTATAGACTAGACTATAGACTAGACTATAGACTAGACTATAGACTAGACTATAGACTAGACTATAGACTAGACTATAGACTAGACTATAGACTAGACTATAGACTAGACTATAGACTAGACTATAGACTAGACTATAGACTAGACTATAGACTAGACTATAGACTAGACTATAGACTAGACTATAGACTAGACTATAGACTAGACTATAGACTAGACTATAGACTAGACTATAGACTAGACTAGACTATAGACTAGACTATAGACTAGACTATAGACTAGACTATAGACTAGACTATAGACTAGACTATAGACTAGACTATAGACTAGACTATAGACTAGACTATAGACTAGACTATAGACTAGACTATAGACTAGACTACAAACTTAGTCGAAAATAGCCATTATTGATAAGTTTTACAAACGAATATATATACATATGTATGTATGTACGTATTTCCTCTCCACTATAGTTGTTTGTATTCAAAGGATATATAACAGATTGTCTGTGTGTGTAGAGAAACGGTCAAATGTTTGTTTACACTAAAGGCTATTTTTATTTATTTGCTAATTTCTGTAGCATACGTTTAAGCTTAGATCGGATACAAAAGATTTCCACTAAAAAAAGAAATAGTTTTTTCCTATTACAAAGAAATTTCTTTAAAAAAAAACAACATTATTTGCTTAAGGAAGTAGAGCAAAATATTTGTAAATAATGAAATGATTTTTTGAAGACTTAAGGGGAATAAATACTTTGCATGTTTTTTTGGTTGAATAGAATTTGTTTGATGTTCGTTAGCCATTTTAAATAAACTTTTGTTATTTATTTTTAAGAATTTCAAATGTTTGTTTCTTTATTGTTAATTTTTTTGATTAAATATTTTGAGAAATGGTCACTTTTCGTAAAACAATTTTCTATTAACCATTTATCACAGAAAATGTAACAGTAATTTGATGTAAAATTATATTATGAATGTTTGATATGTTGTTAACAGCCGTTTTAACGCCCAAAAGAGAAACATTAATCATATGAACAAAAAAACAAATGGTTATTTTGATATGTTTAAAGAAAATATCCTAAAATCAGGGTTACTCTTTTTTACACAGATATTGCATAAGCGAGAAAGAAAAAATAATAAAACAATATTATTTTGCATTGCAGAAACTTAATTTGAAAGTTTAATGTTAATTTTAAAGATTTATCGAGAGTTATTTCCTAGAAATTTGGTACTAGAACCCTATCTTTGACCGATATAATTAAAATTTTCTAAAAAGTAAATAGATTCTGCAAAGTTTACTGAACCACCTAATCGCCTTTACATATGCTTCAATTTACTTAATAAATACAATTTTGTATAAAAATCCTTAACCACTCCTTA